ATAAATTGGGGGAATAACACAAGAAACTTAACAACACACTACAACACCAGAGTTAGCCCCAGGTAATGCTCAGGAAAATGAGTGAGATTGAGTTTTGTTGTTCAGGAGAACAGGGATGTGATGACAATTCAGAGTTCTGACAGAGCCATGGTGCCTTTCCCAGATCATTCATAAACTGAGCAGAATGCACCCTCTGTATCCAGATTTTACCAAAATATTATTTGCTTATGTCCAAATCCTCTAAAACATGAAATTCTATCCCTATCTCAACCTCTACTCCAAGCACTACTCTATTATGGAACAAACCCTGCACAAACAAAGCCCAAGTGCAAGAACAGTTACTGCAAGTGCAAAAGAGAAATAACCATTTAAATGGATGCACAGAATCAAGGGGAAACACTGCTAGAAATCACCAAGGTTTCAGTCAGGAGAAGTTACAGCTCTGAAATATTTTGACAAACTGCAAACAGGATTGCAGGGCAACCCTGCACAAAAACAATATTTGAAATTAATTGTTTGCTATTTAAAAAAAAAAAATCCACTAACTTTCATTATGTGGAGAGAGAAGTTTCTTGAGGGTCAGCATTTCTTCATGTAGTCCATTGAGGATAAATCCCAAGTATTCTTCAGCATCCTCTTGCCTGCCCTGAACAAAATATTTTTTTTTTCAATGAATTCTATGATTTTTTCATGGTTTCCTTTTAACAGAAGGTTCATGACACTGAACAAATCCAGCGTTTTCCTATAAATTTAGCAATTACTTAAAGTTATGCCAAATAAAGTTTACATTTTATTATAAGACAAAACTCTTTTTTTACCCAGTTAAGCAGTAAATACACACATCAGTTCTACAATGGCTACAAGAATTCTGCATTTTTCTCCATACAAATTCCATTTAATGTCTGAGCTGGAATTTTTTTCTCTCCATTTCTTTTGCAGCCACTATTAAAAGTTGCTGTCAAGCCAAGGCCAAATCAAAGGATGGTTTGAATTATTATCTTTTCTTTAGATTGAAATTAAACCTGACCTTCAATCAGTCTTAACTGAATTCCTCATAAAAATGAACAACTGCTCATTTCTTAAATGTAAATCAATTGGTAACTCCATTATAAAAAGAGATGTTCCATTCCAACAGTAATTTTTCCATTATTCTGACATATCAAACTGCCAAACCTGTAATTAAGATTTCTCTGTAATTCAGGTCCCAAGACAGTCGAGCTTTATTACCATGAGCTCTCAATGAGTTGATTTTAGGTATTTCAGTAGAACCTGAGGTTTTTTGCAGTTTTTAAGGACTGGGACTGCCCTGCAATGCAGTGGCACAAGGGAAGGATTTCAAGTCTCACCTTTTCTGACAGACTTGACTTTATCACTGTCAAGAGCCTGTAAATGTAGGTTGGTTCAAAGGCAGCTCCTGGTCGGATGTCTCTCACTATTTTATCACCTAAAGCTGCAAGGTGAAAGAGAATTCATGTAAGAAATAATAAATAAAAGGGTTTTTTTTACATTATACCTTAATAGTCTCTTCACACATCACTAGTTTTGGAGTCCAGCACTTCTTTACTAATGGTTTAATTGTAATTTGGGGTTTTGAGCTCAGAAGTTGTAAGACACAACCCTCATTGCTTTAAAACAGATCACCCTGCAGAAACTCACAGATAGGAAAAGTTCTGAGATTAACAAGAATATCAACAGCCATCATAAAAGAACACTTTTAGTGCTATTTGCATTTTTGCATTTCTTTTGAAGAACATATCCTTAAACCTTCCTGTATCTGCATTTTTAACAGATCCCTTTTGCTCACTGCAGAATAAAAACCCCAAGAACAGCCTGACAAAACCTTCCACTAATGGCAATACAAGGCCTCAGAACTGTACTTGAAAACTACACAAGAAAATGACCTACAAGTAAAATCAGTTGCATAAGCCAGCAAGATTTGTTTCACAGAAAGAAACCACAGAAATGTCTGAACTGCTTGGAAATCACTGCAACAACCAGCTCCTCCTGATATTTCCTTATCATGTTACATAAAGAATAGTTTCAGGAATGTGCTTGTTTCTACAAGTTTGCAATACAACAGACTTGGCTTAAAATGAAGATTAAACAGCTGAAAGCTTTAAGATCATTTATTTGCATCAAAAAAATATGTTATTCCTCACTCCATCATCACCACTGAGCCTAAATATGTATAAATAAATATGTATTAGGAGAAATCAGATCTGTCTGAAGTTTTCCCACTGGAATCAGAAGGCAGGATAATATTCCTGCAGGCAGCTCCAAGTGCTTAAGGGACCTGTTCTGGGCACATTTTGTTCCAAATGAGTGAATGTTCAGGATTTAAGGAGCAGAATTGAGCAATCTGATAAACAAAGAGTTGGAGCTATGGAAGGAAGGAAGGAAG